CCAGAGAGTTGGATGTTATGTATTTCTTTCTCTCAGAAAGCTCCTTAACTAATCTGCTTTTTATATATGTCTCTTGATTGTTTTCTATGGGAGTGGAGCTTGGAGAAAAGGTTTATGATTCCCCTTCTTTTTTTTTTTTTTTTTTTTGAGGAGGACTAACCCTGAGCTAACATCTGATGCCAATCCTCCCCTTTTTCCCTTGAGGAAGATGGGCATGGTGGGCCCTGTGCTAACATCCGTGCCCATCTTCCTCTACTTTATATGGGACGCCACCACAGCATGGCTTAACAAGCGGTGCGTCTGTGCGCGCCGGGGATCCGAACCTGCGAACCCCGGGCCACCGCAGCGTGCGGTCCTCACCTGTTTACTCTTGAAAGTGAACTTCAGAATTATTTTAATAGGCTGCAAAAAATCCTATCAACCCCTCCAGGAGGTGGAGCTTCTTGTGATGTGGACTGGAGTCCATGACTGGGTTCCAAAGAATAGAACGTTGAAAGGGAAAAACGGTAACTTTATAGCCAAGAAATCTGGCAGAAACCACCTTAACCAACTGATCGAGGTTAACATCACCACGTGCTATCAGATACCCGGATATTACGTGATGAGAGGGGCGCTTCACCTCTGTGGTGGTCTCCCTGAAAACCCATGACCCCCGTCTAATCATGAGAATACACCAGACAAACCCAATAGAGAGTATTCTACAAAACAGCTGACCAGTACTCTTGAAAACTGTCAGAGTCACAAAAAACAAGGAGAAACTGAAATACGTCACAGTTCAGAGGAGACTAAGGAAACCTGACGAATGTGGAATCCTGGATTGGATCCCGGAACATTAGTGGAAAAACCTCTAGAATTTTTCAGGTAATTCATGTATTTGAAATTATTATATTTTTTCAAATATCTATCATTACTTAGCTAGAAAACCTAGAACAACAAGGTATGGTATTTGTTTTATTAAGAGATTTTTAGTATCCAGAAATGGATGTTGAATTTGATCAAATACTTTTTTAGAAAATACTAAAATGCTCATATTTTTTGTACTACAGATGTAAATTTTTTTGTTATTAAAATATCCCTGCATCCCTAAAACACTCCCTTCTAGGTGTATATAATTCCTTGTAAAATGCTGGAATCAATTTGCAAATATTTTATTTAGGATTTTAGCATCTTAATGGTATAGGAATGGCCTGTCACTAGAAAGTAAGAAATACTTGTCTGTAAAAACGTTTGGGCCCAAGACTTCTTCTGAGTTGTTCTTTGACAACTCTTTATTTTATGGTTACCATTTTATGTTATCATTTTATTATTTATGGTACCATACCATTTTACCATTTATTTTATGGTTACCGTTTAACAGATTTTATTATATATACAGGTAGTACTTTGAAAACAATATTGGCAGTTTATATTTTCTGAGCAAAGTGGCCAGTATTTTCAAACTTATCAGCAAAGAGCTGTAATAGTATTCTTCAGCAACCTTTGTAATGGCCTTCTCATCCTAATGTTATATTCAGGTGTGCTTTCTACATTTTTATTTCCTGCCTAGATTTGCCAGAGACTCCTTTCATAGGTTTTTCCAAAGTATCTGCTGTTTTATTTGTGTGTGAGAGGAAGACCAGCCCTGAGCTAACCATGGTAATCCTCCTCTTTTTGCTGAGGAAGACCGGCTCTGAGCTAACATCTATTGCCAATCCTCCTCCTTTTTTCCCCAAAGCCCCAGTAGATAGTTGTATGTCGTAGTTGCACATCCTTCTAGTTGCTGTATGTGGGACTCGGCCACAGCATCGCCGGAGAAGCGGTGCGTCAGTGTGCCCCCGGGGTCCGAACCCAGGGCCGCCAGTAGCGGAGCGCGTGCACTTGACCGCTAAGCCACGGGGCCAGCCCCCAAAGTATCTGCTCTTGAAGTTATTTATAAATTGTATGGATTTCCTGTTATCCAAGTAATTTTTTTCAGTTTTTATCTTTATTAATTCCTTCCTCCTGCTTGAGTCTTCTCCCCTCTCCTGCTAACATTTTGAGTTGAATACTTTTTTATTTTCTTGTTAAGCAATACAAGTATTTAAAGATATTAAATTTCCTCTGAGATCAACCTTGGCCACATGCCATAATAGCTATTATTTACTGAGTGATTGCTATGTGGCAGATACTGATGTAGGTGTTATGAGTATTTTCTAATCTTCTCTCCAAGCCTATGAGGCAGGTATTATTATCACCATTTGATAGATGAGTGACTTGGAGCTCACTTAAATCACTTACCCAAGGTCACACAGTTAATAATCATTGGCGCTAGAATTCTGATACCGGAGTCCATATGACACCAGTGACTAAGCACTCAATGCTGAACTTTGATATGTACAGTTTTTATTGTCTTTCAGCCTCCCCCACCAAATAGTTTACAACGGCAGCTTCTATTCCCCCTCTCACCCAAGGAAAGAGGAAATTTGTTGTTTTTATTTCCAAGAGATTAGATTATTTGATTGACTTTTTTTGGTATTATTTTCAATTTTTCAGGTATTGTGGCCAAAGTACTTGCTGGCACAAAATTTTCTGGAAATCAAAATGTCTTTTTGGGGGCCAGCACGGTGGCGTAGTGGTTAAGTGCACCGCTCCACTGCTGGCAGCCTAGGTTCAGATCCTGGGCGTGCACCGATGCACCTCTTATCAGGCCATGGTGTGGCGGCATCCCATATAAAGTGGAGGAATATGGGCATGGATGTTAGCCCAGGGCCAGTCTTCCTCAGCAAAAAGAGGAGGATTGGCATGGGTGCTAGCTCAAGGCTAATCTTCCTCACAAAAAAAATTGTCTTTTTGACATGGAACATAACATAAAAAGACTAAATAATCCCTACCTAATTAATATGTCAACTTTAAAATAAAACAGCCAGTTATTTTCCCAGCAATATGAGTTTATTCAGGAATAGCAAAGGAATTACAATTCTTCACGTGCAAACTACAGAGAACCACAGGCAAGTCCAGAGAAAAAAGGAGGAGCTCCTGCTTTCCTAGAGAAAAAGGGGAAGGTGGGAGGGGCTATTCTACATGAAAGTTCATTGGAGGAGAGCAAGAGTTCAGGGTGGTGCTGGCTTCTCACTGGCTGAGCTATGGTGTTTTCCATTGGCTGGACTTGTTGCCTGGCAAGAAGAAAATATTCCTATCTCCCACTGGGGTAGTAAAGTAGTAGCCACCCCCCTGTTGGAGATGTGGTCTCTTCCTATTTGCGATAAGTGAAGATGAGTGGTAGGGCGTGAGAGCTCCCTCTACAGATCTTCCCGACTCCAATTTTAGTTGAGGTTTCCTTTATTAATTTTCACAAACTCAACCTTATAGCATTCTGATCTCTGTATCTTTGTTTGTTGTGGTTGTTTTCTAGCAAATTTTACAAAGGCTGAAAGTGATGTGTTAAAATCTCCCATTGCATTTGTAGTATTTCTGAGTTTTCAATGGTGTGAATTCTACAATATAATCTACCATCCTCTTTGTGGCTTACTGCCCTTTGCCTCGAGGTCTACTTTATTGAGTTTTAATTACAGCTAACATTTACTGAGCATTTACTCTGCCCCACACTCTGTGCTTCACACGTATTGCTTTATTTAATTACCAAAACAACTCTAGGGGTAGCAATAGGTGTGGATCCAGGTTTTGTGGGGATTGGAATTTATACAGTATTGAAGGCCTTCTTAGAAAAAATACAAAATTAGATACGAAAATGGATATTTATTTAGAATGAGAGAATAAATCATAACGAATTGAGAGATCTCTTCTGGCATTTGGGAGAAACGCTTCCAGGTAGCAACCTCGCCACCCGAAAAACTACAAATCTCAGCGGCCCCTGAAGGTGAGCTAAAGCTTCATTAGCTTCACGGTAAATCCCCCTCCAGAGGTAGGTTTTTTCCTTAGTTCCATGTTTATAGAAGAGAAGACCGAGACTTACGTTGAGTAAATCGCTCAAGATTGCAGCGTCGGGATCTGAAGATCATGCAAATAGACTGCAGAGTCGCGCTTTACCCACTGCCTCCCAGGACCATCACTGAGCATGCAGGAGGATTTTCTTAAGGATGGCAGGGGGAGAGACGGGGCTAGAAAGGGCTGGAGAGGAACAGTGAAGCCCCTAAAGAGGCAGACGGAAATGGGCTCCACAGCCCAAGTGGAGACAGGCGCCTTAGACAGGAGGGAAGCGGAGAAACCTTCGGGCAAGAGGTAGGAGGCAGGAAGGTGAGCGAGTTAGTCAGGGCCTAGGTACACTTATTTATTTGTTTGTTTACAAATGTCCTGAGCCCAAGCCCGCCCCAGGCGTGCACTGGGCTCCCGCAGGCAGCGGGCCTGGGCGCCCCATCCTGTTAACGCGACCAGCGCGGAGGGAGGCGCGTGGGAGCCGGGACAGAGGCGGGGTGCCCGCGGTCGGCTGAGAGTTACGGGGGCGCTACCGCAACGCCGTGGGTAAAACGCGGGCGGGCAGGGCCCACGAGCCGCACGCGCCCCGAGCGGCGCCGGAAGTGGCGCCACCGAGCCCGGCGTCCTTCTCAGCCAATGGCCGCGCGATGCGCCGGTCGACGGTGATCCTCGTGGCACCTGGAGAGAAAAGGCGGGGGGGCCCATAAGGCGCGAGAAGGGACCATCCTTCTGCGTTATTACGCAGGTTACCGGGGCAATGTAGCCAGGGACAGGCCTCTCTTCTCGCTTCGCTCCCGCCGGCTAACCCAGCTCAGTGACACCACGCTTTCAAACCGAGGAGCGCCTCACGCCCGGAGTTGCCCTCAGTAAAGATGGCAGACAGGCGGGGAGCTGGGGGGAGGGAGCCGGAAGTAGGCGGGTGGGAGGAGCCTGCGGGGGCGTGCCGAGGGCGTGGCCCGGCTGTCGAGAGGCCGGGAGGGGCGTGGCCAGACTCCCCAACAGACTTTGGGGTCAATGAGGCGTACAGAGGCCAGCGAGCGGAGTCCCTCCGTGGTCTGCCGGAGGCGGGTCACCACTCGCTCGACCCCCCCAGATAGCTCCTTCTTGGAGGTACCCCCTGATCTGCGAGATTTAGCCAGAGTTGGGCTGCCGGCCTCAGTCCCTCGGCGGTCCCTGGCGGCGATGGAGGGCGCCCAGGAGAGTCCCGCGGAGTCGAGCCCCCCCGCCCCCGGGTCTGAGGAGCCCGCCGGCTCGGGCAGGAGCCCCGAGGTGTTGCCTCCCGAGGAGGCGGAGGCCTGCGCCCGGCCCCTGGAGATGGCCCCCAAGAAACTTTGTGGATATTTGAGTAAGTTTGGGGGCAAAGGGCCCATCCGGGGCTGGAAATCCCGCTGGTTCTTCTACGACGAGAGGAAATGTCACCTGTATTACTCGCGGACCGCGCAGGATGCCAATCCCCTGGACAGCATCGACCTCTCTAGTGCGGTCTTTGACTGCAAGGCGGACGCCGAGGAGGGGACTTTCGAAATCAAGACTCCCAGCCGGATTTTCACCCTGAAGGTAAATGGAGCGGTTTTTTCCTTTTCAGCCGGGCTGAGTTCTCAGGGCACGGCCGGGCGCGGCTGGGTGGTCACAGTAAATTTATAGGAACAATGATCACCGACCCGGATCACCCCAATGAACCCTGGGTGCCCGGGGTTTTGTGCTTTCCAAAGCGCGTTCACACCCATTTCCCCGTTGGGTTCCTCTGACAAACGCGGGGATGGTGGACTCATATTACTACGGATCAAGAAACTGAGTCATAGAGAAAGGAAGTGACTGCCCGAGGTCGCGCGTCTTGAGAGTGCAGAAGCCCGTGCTTGGAGTCCGATAGGCTTTCTACCTCTTAGCACTGCATCAAAACTTTTACTTTTGGGTGTGCGTAGCAATGCAGTTACCTTCACTTTCTTACTTGGGGCTAAAGTATAGTCAAGATATGAGCTTTATAATCCTCTCTTAAGGCCGGGATTCTGAATCACTTTTCTTGTGTTTTGGCCAAGGGGAGCGAATGCTGAGGAAATGCTGGCAGGGATTGGAAGATAAGCACTTTGGTTTCACTGATCAGCCTAGATTGTTCGTCCAGGCATGCCTAAATCTGTTTGCCGGTCAGTGGGTTTTGTTTTGTCTTCATGTTTAACTGAGAAAGCCTGAAACAGTGGAAAGGCCGTGTGCTTTGAAATCAGGCCGGCTTGGATTCAAATTCTACATCAGCTACTTACTAGCTGTGTGACTCTGGGCAAGTTACTTAACCTCTCAGAATCTAGGTAGTTTGTGAGATTTAAAATAAGGTGTGTAAGCATCTGGCACATCATAAGCACCTCCAAATTGTTTAATTAATCCTGGCACTGTAGAATACAGCCTGGCACCTAGTGGCTCAATAAATGTTTGTTGAATGAACACATGGTTATGGAACCAAGGTCAGAATGTTCATGTCAAGAAGAGGTGCTCCAGAACTTAATTGGAAAGACAGATCTGGGCTAAGAGTTCTGGGATTCACACTCATCAGAGAAGAGGGTGCCAGGAGGCAGCCTCCCCCCATCCCTACCTCCAGCCAATTTGGCGTCTGTTGAGACCCCTAGGTGGAGCCCACAGCTTCGGTTCCCCTTTATTGGCTGGGCCTGGCTGGTGGCCAGGGGGACCAGCTACAATAATGCAAACCAGGAATTCCAGGTCAGGCAAGGCAGGCATTTGAGAGTTCACGTGGTTTACGGGTCATGTGTCTCCTCCCACAGGTTGAATGCTGTCTACAGGTTCTCCCACACACGACCTTTACTATTCCGTTGGTCTGGGGGTGTGCCTTGCTCTGTGCTAGCCAGGTACAGGGTGTGGAGCCAGGTCAGACCTGCTGCCTGGTGCTCAAACAGCCTAAGGTCTGGTGAGGGAGACTGACAGGGAGACGGGCCCACAGTAAAATGTTCTATAGACACTGTGATAAATCTGTACCAGGAAAATGTGGTGATGGGGGTTGGGGGCTAGGGGTGGGTGTCAGCGGTCAGCTCCACTGAGTGGGAGGAGCCATCCAGAAAGGGCATCATGGAGGAGGGGACGACACTTGAGGCTTGAAAGAGGAAATAGGTTTTCTACAAGCAGACAGGAGGGAGAAGGATATTCCAGGCCAAGAGAGCCCCGGAGCAAAGATAGGAAGACAGGAGACAGCCTGAGTGTCCAGGCAGGTCACAGGAACCTGGGGTACAGAGGGGGCTGAAAGTTGGGGTGGGAGAGCAGCGACCTGAGGCTGGGGCATTTGTGAGTTAGGCCAGGGAGCCTGGACTTTGTCCTGTGGGCTGTGGGAAATTGTCAAAGAGCTTTCAGCAAGGCAGCACCGTGAGATTCGAATGTTTAGAAAGCTCAGTCTGGCTCCTGGGTAGAGAACAAATTAGGAGAAGGCAAGGCTGGTGATCAGGGAGTTCATTGGGGGGCATCAGGAGAGAATGATGGCTAAGCCAGAGCTGTGACAGTAGGGAGGGGGACAGGTGGGGGTGGCTAGGGATATGAGGGAGGAGTCGGGATGGTTTGTGTAACTGGCTGACTGGTTGGCCCAGTCACTGACAGGAGGGAACCCAGGATGGGGACACCACATGACATCAAGGTATATGTCCCCTCAGTAGACTCTTACGTTCCAAGAGGGTAGGGGCCATGTGTGTTTGCTGTCCACAGCATATCCAGTGCCCGCCACAGTCCCTGACACGTAGCGTAGGTGCTCAGTATCCACTTATCTAATGAATTAATAAGATGGGGTATTTGGGTGGGGGCTGGAGCTTGTCAGCACAAGGTCATGGTGAAGCCCTGGCAGGGGCTGAGGTCTCTCAGGGAAAGTGTTTAGAGAGAGAAGACTGGTGGGCATCATTTTATCTTATTTGATACCCGTGATGGGCCGAGGGCCTCTTTGGTGGAGCCCTCTGGCCTCGTGGGCGCCTCACCTGTGGGCGTCTTGAGAGGGGGTGCTTGCCCTGGTTGCCCGGGGCCTGCTGCTGTCCTCACATGACCTTGACTGTGGGCAGCTCTGTGAGGCCCACCTCCCACTCCAGGCAAGCTGCCCGGCTTCTGCAACCCAACTGATCCCAGGCCTTCTCTATGTAAGTGACAATTTCCTGGCCATAAGTTACGACAGAGCTCTGGTCTAGAAGTGGGAGACTCGGGTTCTGGGACCAGCTCTACCACCACCTGCCTGGGCAACTTCAGAGCCTTAGTTTCTCCATCTGTGGAAGGGGCTGGTCACTCCTGCCCTGCCTCCCTCCTGGAGGATCTGGCAACATAATGGGTGTGAGAGTAGGTATTTAGACCGTTGAGTGCTGGTTGACTAATGACCAGCATCAACCGTTACCTCATTTGCGGGGCCTGGAGGGTGCCATTATGTTGTTGTAGTGTGCATATGGCTTTCCAGTCCCCAGTCATATCCATAATTTCAGTGCATCCCCAAAACAGGAGGGATTCTCCCCAGTCCACAGAAAGTCAGCTAAGACATTGAGATGTTGCACAGGGAGATAGTGATGGTACCAGGGCCCCACCCAGGTCAGAATGTTGAAGCTCGTTCCCTCTCTCTTAGCATCTCCAGATTCCTTTCTCCAGCGAGCACGTTTTGCGCACCACTCTGTCAGGTCCTGTGCTGGGCACTGTCCTTCCCTGACCTCAGTTCATCCTCATGACTGACTGCCCTGTGAAATGAGTGCTGTCATCACCATAGGACAGACGAGGAAACAGAGGCCCAGGAAGGTCAAGGAGCCTCTGAGTGGGAGCCCAGAGCCTGATGATCTTCTGTAGCCAAGAAGCCTGTGGTATCTCAAAGGTGGGCCCATCCACAGTGACAGTTTTTTCTGGGAAGGACAGAGTTACCAAGCCTCCGCATCCAACACCCAGTGCCACCGTGCGGGCACAGGGCCTTGCCAACTAACACTTGTGCTTCTCAGGCTGCCACCAAGCAAGTGATGCTGTACTGGCTGCAGCAGCTGCAGATGAAGCGCTGGGAGTTCCACAACAGCCCGCCTGCGCCTCCCGCCGCCCCTGACGCTGCCTCGGCTGGGCATGGGCCTGCCCTGCGCCTCGAGCTAGGTACCCAATGGGCTCCCTCCTGCCCACACGCCTGGGGCTCTTGGTCACCAAGCCTTTACCCTCCTGTTGGGAGTGAGTGGGAGGGGCCCTCTGCTGAAGAAGCAGAGAGCCAGGGCTGGGACTGAGGATCAGCTAGGGCAGCAGGATAGCATCAAGGGCAAGAATATGGGCTCTGAGGCCAGGCTGCCTGGTTCCAATCCTAATCCTCTGTGGTCTTAGCCAAGTTGCTTAACCTTTCTGAGCTTCTGTTTCCCTCTCTGTAAAATGATACCTAATTATACCCACTTCTTAGGGCTGTTATGAGGAGTAAATGAATCCATACACCTTAAGTGGTTGGAACAATGCCTGCACATGATCAGCGCTCAATAAAGGTCAGCTGCTATTATGGGACGGTCTCAAGAAATGAAACTTTCGTGGAGTTGCTGTGAGGAAGGTTAATGAGAAGTTGAGGTTCTTTTTCTTGCCTCTTACACAAATGCTTTTGTGCTGTAAGTTGGGTAGATGAGTGAGTTCATCCCTGGTGTTCCCATGAGGCAGGATCCTCCCCCCACGTGGCCCACAAATGAAGTTTCTTGATCCCGCATCCTAGAACATCCCAGCATGGAGGAGTCCCACAGATCATGCCCTCCCACCCCCATCCCACAGCCAGGAGTGTGACTGGCAGGTTTTAGTCTCCAGACAGACCACCCACAGCTTCCCCTGCAAGAGCCTGGAGAGTGAGGTCCCAGCACAAAGCCAAGCAGCTAGGATGCCTCATCCTCACTTGATGGGGAAGCTGGATGGCTGGGGGCAGGACTTGTGGCCAAGTGCCTCCTAGAACCCTGTACCCGGCTGTTTTTTGTTTTTTGTTTTTTTTTTTGTGAGGAGATCAGCCCTGTGCTAACATCTGCCAATCCTCCTCTTTTTTTGCTGAGGAAGGTTGGCCCTGGGCTAACATCCATGCCCATCTTCCTCCACTTTATATGGGACGCCGCCACAGCATGGCTTGCCAAGCAGTGCGTCAGTGCGCGCCCGGGATCCGAACTGGCAAACCTCAGGCCGCTGCAACGGAACGCGCACACTTAACCGCTTGTGCCACCGGGCCAGCCCCATACCCGGCTGTTTTAACATGTCCCAAACTGAGCTTACCTGCCCTTGACCCTCCTCCTCCCCCAGTTTCCCTTCGTCAGTAAATACCCCCTGTTTACCCAGTTGCCCCAGTAACCGGGAGCCCCCCTCGCCTCTTCCTGGTCTCAGTTAGCCAGTCCAGTCCGTCACCAGTGCTGGCCACGTGGGCCCGCTGGCCTGCACGTCAGACCCGGGCACCCCTCAGCGCTGTTGCCCTGGGTCAGGCCTCAACTCTTAGCTGGAAAATCACAGCAGCCTCTTCTCCAGTGTCCCCGTGTCCCAGCCTGCCACCTTGGACCCATCATCCTCACTGCAGCCAGAGTGAGCTTTCTAAAATGAAAGCCTGAGCCCCACCGCCTCCACGGCCGCCTGCCACGTCCCAGTCCCAGTCCCAGCGTTTCAGCCCAGTGCTCAGGCTCGTCCTCCTCGTCTCCCCTCTGCCTGCCCCCCCGGCGCCCACCTCCTGCTTTACGCTTCGGCAGCACCAGGGGCATCTGGTCTCTCTTTTCTGCCTGGCAAGTTCCTGCTTCTTCTCTGGCCAAGCGGTGGTGTCACCTCCTCCTCTTGCCAACCCCCTCTGAGAAGCCTTCTGGAACTTTGCCAACTGGGCTTTGTATGAGCCCTCAACAGTTTTTTCAGATGGTTCTAACGAGGCCTGTCACATTGTGTTCTAATTACAGTGTCCTTGTGAGTCTCTGCCCACTCGCCCTCAAGGGTGAGGGCCGTGTCTTTGTCCCCAGTACCTGCTGCCCTCCCTGGCACATGGGATATTTGTTGAGTGAATGTGTGAGCGAGCATTGAATTTTATAACTAAAGGAGGAAAAGAATGTAAAGCCCTCAGCATAATGCCAGGCACATATAAGTCCTCAATGCATGGTGGCTGTCCTGACAATGTTGTTATTATATGTACACAGGTACACTAGTACTATTATAATTGTTCCTTTTTATTGTTAATAATAATCATTAGTAATTTCTTCAGAGAACTTTCTGGGTGTTTTTCCCTTGTGAGGGCTTTCTTTGGGGAAGGGTTTGTTTGCTTTTGCTTCTGCACTTCTACTCCACCCCCGACTCCCCATCTACCAGAGAACCACACAGCCCTGGCTGTGCGGAAGGCTGCTGCGGGCTGAGCTGACACAGTTGCCAGAGGAGATCAGCCTCGGGCTAGAAGCAACAAGAAGCTCTCCCTGCACTGAAGTTGGAAGAACCAGGTTATCGAAAGAATGGCTTTGGGATCCCACAGGTTCTTCTGCTGTGCTGACCCCTTTCCATTCTTGAACTCTGTGGCTTCAGTTCCGCACGCTCGGCGGGGTCTTCTCGGCCAGCCCCTGCTGTGGACCTGGGGGGAGGGGAGCAGTGGCCATAATGACCAGGGCGCCAGTCTCCCCAGGAGGACGCTGGTGGGAGACTCAGGAAGCAGGGACACTGGCTTCTCTGAAGCCTTTCCTGTCCCGCAGCAAGCCTTCACCCTGCTGGACCCAGGGCCCCTGCGAAACCTTCCCCAAGCCTGCCTGAAAGGACATTTCTGGAGTCTTGTGCAAGCTGGCAGGCCCTGGATTAGCTGCCTGGAGCAGGTTGCCCCACCTCTCCAGTCTCCACCCTTCCTGGGAGGAAGCGGGGGCCTGCTCCCAGGGTGGTGAAAACCAACAGACTCGCAGCTGACTTTGAGTCACAGACGCCTCGTCTTGTACCAAGTGTCTCATTACTGCCCTTGAGCAACCTGTAGGCATGTTCTCTACAGCTTTTAAGTGTTCACACCTTTATTTTATACTTTACCTAAATATTAGTCTCCACAAGAACCAAGAAAGATCAAGGGGAAGCCAAGAGACTTATAATAGCAATAATATGTTGCTGGAGTAGGACACAATTTACGAAGCACTTTTATAAATGTATATCATCCTAAAAATATGCATACCACCTCCTGACACTGTCCTGACGCCTTCCATGCCTCGTCTGTCTAATCGGCACAGTGAATTATGAGGTGGTTACTGTTGTTCCCATCTTACAGAAGAGGAGACTGGGCTCACAGAGGTGAAGGGGCCTGTCCAAGGTCACACAGCAAGAAAACGTTGGCACTGAAATTTGACCCCTACTCTGCAGACTCACAGCCCCTCCTCAGGCTGGGGCGATGACTGACTGGGTGTCCAGGGCCCTCTGGGAAGCAGTGACCTGCTGGCCCAGGCCCCTTTTCTTGGGCGATGACTTCTTCCTGCTGGTGAGGGGGCAGCCTCTAGGGCTCAGGCAAAAGGAGCATTACAAGTAAATGCTGAAAATTCTTTGTGTGGTCCCCTCACTGACGGCGTTTCTCCAGGCTGGACAGGGGCCCAGAGGCCCCAGACCAGAGCCCTGGGCCGTCAGTTCCACTTCCTACAGAAAGTGCTCCCTCACTGTGGTGTCACTGTCGTGTGCCACCCCCTCCGCCCCCCTGGACACCCCTTTGCACTGGGAGTTCGTACAGTGCTGGGCAGCCCCTCTCTTCTGGGAACTGTCTGCTTGTCAGAAAGGCTGCTGTGATAAGCCACAGGTTTTGGTGGACAAGCGAGGAACTGCATTTGAGTTCATGGCTGTGCTACCAGCTGTGTGACCTTGGCCACAAAACTCACCTCTGAGCTGCTGTTTCCTCTGGTGGATGCAGCCAGTGGTGACATTTACCACTAAGACTTAGTTGTGTGTGGCCTCAGAGTAGATCTACGGCCACAGGTGGAAGTCAAAGAAAACAGATATTGGCAGTTAGGGAAGTACTTGCTAAGACATTAAAATCTTAAGACAAATTGTAATTTTTTTGTTTATTCTGAATGAGGGAGAGTAAAGATGGTTAAAGTATTGATAAATGAGAAAGCCTTAATTATTTTGAATCAGCTCAAAGTCTGCACCAAAGATGACTTTTGAAATATGCTAGTGCACAGTATGGGGCTTTATGGTTTTCTAAGTATTTTCTCCTACCTTAACTCTGAAGGAGACAGGGTAGAGAGTATTCTTCCTGTTTTAAAAATATGGAACCTGAGGCCGGAAGACGAAGAGTGATTCCCAACCAGGTCACAGCGCCTTCCCACCAGAAACATGGCTTGGCTTCACGTCTTCCACCGGCTACACCAGACGTGGTGTAGCCATTTCTAGTCAGCCAGCTTCCTTCCTGCTCCTGCTGAAACCCCCAGGGGGCTCTGTGGTTCCAGCCAGATGAGATCCTGTTATCCACCCCCTCCCGTTTGTTCTTTCCAGCCCTGTCTCCTCTCCGTTCCTCCCAGCATCCTCAGCTCTGGGTCTGGAACCCCTTGCTGCTGCCTGTCCTTCACACACAGCAGGATCCTCCCTCACCCCTTCTGCAGGTCCACATCATCTCCAGCCCTCCAGGCCCAGCTCCAGTGCCCTTCCTCCAGGAAGTCTTCCCTGACTTCAGTTGGAAGGACTCTGTCTCCACCTCCCAGACCTCCCCCGCACGTTATCTGGCCTGTCCTCCAGCTTCCACCCACTTGGTCTTCTGAAGCGTGCCCTTCTCCCCTGCTCCTATGCTTGGAGCTTCCTGCACCTTTGATTACATCACTTTCTCCAGTCCCACCGTAAACGTCAGGGGAGAGGCCCAGACTGTTTGGTAAGAAAGTGAATTGAAGGAAGGAACTCAAAAGAATGACGCTTGGTTTTCTAAGTGCTGGCCAGCCTGCTGGATCTGAAAGACCCTAGTTTTTGTGGTTAGTGCCGAGTCAATTCCCACTCCTAGCAACCCTGTGGACAGCAGAGCGGAACGCTGCCCGGTCTTTTTTGCACCATCCTCTCACCTTCCTGCACTGTATCAGACAGTGCTCTGCTGCTATTCACAGAGTTTTCATGGCCATTTTTTTTGGAAGTGGGTGGCCGGGTCCTTCTCCTAGTCTGTCTTAGTCTGGAAGTTCTGCTAAAACCTGTCCACCATGGGTGACCCTGCTGATATTTGAAATACCAGTGGCAGGGCTTTCAGCATCACAGCAACACACAGCTGCCACAGTATGACAACGGCCACACAGGTGGTGTGCTTCCCTGACCGGAAAAGAACCCAAGCTGCAGCGGTGAGCGCGCCAAATCCTAACCACTAGACCACCAGGGCTGGCCGAAAGAGCCTATTAGGAATTAACAAATGTATTGCTTGCAGAAAGTTTATTTCTGAGTAGATTGAACAACTTTCCCTGGCCCCCACCATTGTATTTAATGTTTTTGCACTCGCGCCCTTTTTGCAGATGTAGTGTGAAAATAAATTTCCTCTGCCCCTACATTTTTTACCATCTCAGTAAGAGGAATCCACATGAAAGGTGTGTGCTGCCCTGCAGGCTGCAGGGGCTGTCTGATCAAGGGCTGAGCATCCTGTGAGTGGCTTCAGTTCTCTTCCACTTTTTCTAACACTCAAAACCAGCTTCTAAATGTTTCACCTCCTCTCTCTTATACCTCAAATAATGTTTCCTTAGCCTGGAAACCTTCCTGAACATTAAACCTTTTGAAGTACTGACTATATAAGAGTCATTGGTTAAGCAGAACATTTGGGAAACATAGAAAAGTAGAAGAAAAAGTAGCCATAATCCTATCACCCAGAGACAGCCGGTGTTAACATTACGTTAAGACCTCACACCGGCCTTTTATTTAAACGTATTTTGGATCATATAATAATACAAAACATCCTGCTTTGCTTCTTGGTACTCAGTATTATGACCTTAAAATTTCCCTATGTGGTAAAATCTCTTTGTAAACATCCTCTTTTGATGAATATATATTATTTTTCTGTTTATAACAGTAACCCATGTTTACTGTAGAAATTTGGGGAAAAACAGTAAACTGTACTGAGAGTAGCCTGCTCACTTCTAATCCCGTCATGCAGTGCTGGCCGCTGTCGAGACTGCAGAGTGTAGTTCTATGAGACTTTTTCCATACAATTGAGATCATACTATAACCCTCATTTTTTATCAGGCTTTTTCCACCTAATATTATGTCCCATGCACAGTCACCACGTTCTTAAGCGTTCTTCATTAGCACTGTTTTAAATGGTTGAGTGATAGTCCATTGTCTGAAGGCATCGTGTTTTATTTAACCTTTCCTCAGATCCTTACGTTATTATTTAATTTATTATCATTATTTTATTTATTTATTATTATTATTTCCAGTTTGAGGCTAAACAATGCCGTGATGAACCTCAGCCCATAAAGCTTTGTCTGCATTTCAGACAACTTCTTTATAATGGATTCTTAGATCTAGGAAGATCTGTGCTTCTGCATATTTTTAATGGGTTTCTGGAAAGGCTGTCCTCGAAAAATGCAGCATTTTACTGGTTGCAGAAAGCCTGCCTCTTTGGCTGCTATTAACCTTTATAAGGAAGGCTTGCTCGTGCCACCCGCTCCCATCGGAGCTGAGCCCATAGCACCCACCTGTCCAGTCTCTCCAAGTGCAGTGACTTGGTGGATGATTCCCTTTTCTTTGTTCCCAGAGCAAGAAGAGGCGGAGCTGGAGGAGTTCCTGTGCCCCGTGAAAACGCCCCCTGGGCTCGTGGGCGTAGCAGCTGCCCTGCAGCCGGTCCCTGCCATGCCCTCGGCCCTTCAGAACATTTCCCTCAAGCACCTAGGAACTGAGATACAGTAAGTGCCAGTGGGGCTGAGGGGCCGGCTAGGCTGCAAGCAGCCCCTTCTTCAGAGCTGACAGAGATCGGGGTGATTCCCCTGCAGGGAGGTGGGCCTGGGGAGGGGATTAGGGGCTTTATTTTGAATTCATCGTGTCATTACTTTAAAATATTAAAATTGTTCTGGTTTTAAAAGTAGTGCATGTTCTTTGTAGGAACTTAGAAACATCTAGAAAGGAATAAATTTAACATTACCCCTAATCCTGTCACCCAGACAAGCATTCTTAGCATTTGGTATATCTCTTTCCTCCGCATTCTTTAATACACATATATACGCGTAATTGACATCACATTGAATGTAATGTGATGGTGGCTTCACAAATGTCTACGTATGTCAAACGCATCAAATTATTCACTTTTAACATGTGTAATTTATTGTACATCGATCATAGCTCATCTACTTTTCCATTTCATAATGTATTATCCATACAATTTCCCATTGGCAGGCTTTGTTTTAAATAGTTTATAAGAAGAAAGCAGCCAGGCCTGGCTTTGGAGCCGAGCTGCCTGGATTTGTATCCTGGCTCCATCACTTATGGGCTGTGCTGCCCTTGGCAACTTGTTTGATTTCTCTGTGCTTCACTTAAGTTGTTGGTAAATGTCGATACAGCAATGCTTGCCTTGCAAGATTAGTGTGGGGGTTAATGGGTTAATGCATGCAGACTGCTTCAGAACTGTGCTTGGTGGTTGGTAAGCACTTAATAAATGTCTGCTCTAACCGAAGGAATGGAAGCTTTAGGAATTCAACCCCAATACTGATCCTGTTTGGGTGCGTGTTTTCTGTGTGGACTGCAGACACACCAGGACCTCTTAGAAAAGAGTGTTCGCTGGACTTGGATTGGAGAGCCCTGGCTCTGTGTGACTCCAGCATAACATTTCTCTCGTCGGCTTCAGTGTTTGAATTCACTTGGATAACGAGGAGCATAGTGATGCTGTTCCCAGGAGAGAAGCAGGTTTTAGGGAAAAGACAATGAGTGTCCCTTAGGGCCTACTGGCTGGAGGTAGAACTAGCCAATAGGCATTTGAGTGGAGGGGCCTGGAACTCAAGAGAGAGGTCTGAGCTGGAGAGAGAGACTTGGGGGGTATGGGCACGGTTGAGCCCCCCAAGGTGAGTGGACAAGGAGGGTGCCCTGCAGGAGATCTTCCCTCAGGAGGAGCTGGAGGAAACTGGGTGCATTGGGAGCCTACCATGGGGGAGAGGGGGCCTGAGAAGTGCAGCCATCCAGCCAGTGTATCCAGGGTGGTCTCACCAAGATTAAGCCAGGTTCGTGCCTGATGAAGGCCGCAAAGAGCAGAAGTGGAGCAGAGAACATGCAGAAACCAAGAGAGGAAGGAAGTTTCAGGAACAGTCAGTTACTTCCTGCCTGACACATGTAAAATGTGAGGCAACACTGCAACATTCCCTGGACTGCTGAGAGCCCCGGTAAGACCAGGGTTGCTCTTGTCTGCTGCACCCCCTTGCCCTGGCTGGTCTTGGAGCTTGCTGTTGCGTCTGCCATAAGCCCAAGTCATACTCAGGGGAAGGGAGGAGGGGAGCTTCCAGAGCACTGTGCTACGTGCTTCACACTCTTGTTGAGTTGTCTGGACAACCTGTAAAGTGGGATCATAACCGCTAAGTTCTCAGACCGTGGAGTTAGATGTCCAGGGCTATTGCTCAGCCCCACCACTTACTAGCTGTATGACTTTGGTTACTTATCCTTTCTGAATCTCAGTTCTCTCTTTACAATGGGTGATGATAGTACTTACTTCCTTGGGCTTTTGTGAGGATTAACTGAGTTAGCTTAGAGCCTGGCCCCTCGGAGGGCCCAGTCATTGTTTGTCATGGAAATTGTTCATTATTCCCATTGCAGATAAGGAAACCTGGGCCCAGAGAGGATAAATGGCTTGCCCCTGGTTATCCTTCCAGAACAAGTCTTATGACCACTACCCCCATGCTGGCCAGGCCTTTCAGACCTGGAGCTAAACCTACACAGAAAGTGATCTGTGAACTGCTCCAAGAGAAGTCAATTTATGAAATGGAGATGCCTCTGCCAAGCCAGTGGTTTGGCTGGGTGGTGGCCGCCCAGACTGTGTCAATAGTTGGTGAGCTCCCCATCCCCAGAGGAGATGTGCACAAGGGCTTAGAAGGCCCTTTGCTGCCCTGAAGTTGGGGTTTCTGTGCCCTCCTGCGCCCCAAGGCTGACCGCTTGTGAGCCCCTGGACATGTTGGGGAGGCTGCCGTTCCTGGGCAAGAGGAAGTGTGGGCAGCAATGATGGTCCCCCCACCCAGCCAGTGCCCCTGGCTATAGGGATGTACCCCCGGGTCCTCACCAACTCATGTGCCTTGTGGTTTGTGAGATGCATATAACGGGACTCAGCACAAAGTGATACTCAGTGTATAGTGCCCCTCGTGGTCATTGTTATTCTTTTTAATATGACCACCACCCTTTTATTTTAGATGGCGAAAGGAAGAACTCAGATGAGGAAGTGACTAGCCCAAGGAGTCAGGGGCTCCCTATAATAGGCCCTTGGTGATAACAGAGCAAAAGGAGTCAGAGACCAAATGTCAAGGTCAGATGTTAGAAGTCCTGAGTTCTAATTTCTTCTCTGCTCTTAACTTAACTGATTAATTTTTCCTTCCATCAGTCAGCTGTACTTTCCGTTAAAGTACAGTCTCATTCTTTTCCTATTCTGGACCCAACTATACCAAAAAACTGGGTTTTGTTTTAAAAATAAGTTTCAGATCAAATGATGGTTCTTTGAAAAGATCGACAGAATTGACAAACTAGACAATTTAGCTAGACAGACCAAGAAAGGACATAAGAGTCAAATTATTAAAGTCAGGAACAGAAGAGGAGACATTACTACCGAACTTAGAGAAATGAAGAGGATTATAAGGAAATACCATGAAGAATTCTATGCCAACAAATCAGATAACTTAGAGGAAATGGACAAATTCCTAGAAAGACAGATTACTGAAACTGACTCAAGAAGAAATAGAAAATCTGAATAGACCTGTAATAAGTAGAGATTGAATTAACTACCCATACACACAAAAAAACAACTAGGATCAGATAACTTCTCTGTTGAATTCCACCAAACATTTAAAGACGAATTACTAGTAATTCTTCACAAATTCTTGCCCAAAAAAAGAAGAGGAAGGAACACTTCCCAATTGATTCTATAAGGCCAGTATTATCCTGATACCAAAACCAAACACAGACATCACAAGAAAAATTTTTTGAACATCCAAACCCTTGACCTAGAATTTCCTTGTGCTAATTTTGCCAGCAGGCGTGCTTTTTTCTAACTCACCTCTTCACAGAGGGTATGAACCTTCAGGAGTCCCAGCTTTATGTAAGAATTTCAATTGTAACTCCACGCTTTGCAGGGTCCAAAACCTTTTTTTCTTTCCTCCCTTGCAAGCAGGGCTCTGACTTCTGTATCAACAGTTGATCCCTTGATCACAAGAAAAAAAAATTGTAACTATGCTGTAGTGATGGATATTAACTAGATTTATTGTGGTGATTATTTTGCAATAGAACATATATCGAATCAATATGTTGTATACCTGAAACTAAATATAATGTTATATGTCAATTATATCTCAATAAAAAAAAAATTCATCCCTGGACAAACTCGTGTCCCAGTCAACTTTCACAACAATAAGCTGCAAACGAACACTTCAGAATTCAGTGTCATGTAATAGGCATTTATTCTCACACATCTGGGTTCAGCTGGTATGTTCACCTGGTCTTGACTCGAAGCCCTTGGTAGGATCTAGGTCTCCCCATGCATTTCCCATCTCCCGTGGACTGGCAGCTCCCTGAGGCCTGTTCTTCAAGAGGGCAAGCCCTGCATGCAAGGGCATTTTAAGCCTCTGTTTGTATCACATCTGCTAACCTCCCTTTGGCCAAAGCAAGTCACAGCCACGCCCAAGGTCAAGGGGGCGGGGATGTAGTGGAAATGGAGGGGAAGGAGTGAATCTTTGCTAACAGTCATCCAGTTATTCATCGTCCTCTTTACTTCCCACTTGAGTTTCACCTTTTTCATGTTTAGTCTCTAGGGATTTCCCTTCCTTTCTTGGGAATTCAGCTAGATGTTTAAAAAATACGTTTTGTTGGGCCGGCCTGGTGGTGTAGCGGTTAAGTTCGCATGTTCTGCTTTGGTGGCCCGGGGTTCACTGGTTCTGATCCTGCGCGTGGACGTACTCACCACTCATCAGGCCATGCTGAGGCAGCATCCCATCCAGAAGAGCTACAACTCGACAACTGTGATACACAACTATGTACTGGGGCTTTGGGGAGAAAAAAGAAAAAGAGGAAGATTGGCAACAGATGTTAGCATGGGGCCAAACTTCCTCAAAAAAAAATGTCTTGTCTTTATGTAGCAGCTGGGTGTCTGTGGAATGCGGGTTTTCAGAGTCGTTTGTCCGCCACACTGCTAGAAGCATACATTGTACCTCGAGGTGATACCGCACGGCCAGGACTCTGTCCAGGTCTACAGACTCGCACATCCTCTTGTTTCCTGACCATGCTGTTGCTGCCCCTTGAGTAAATCATCTCCTAGATCCATGTTTTTCAAACTGTTGACCATGACCACACTAGGAAATACATTTTATTTTATAGCTCAGTACGCATATATGTATTTCACAGAATATTTACCCTTTCTAAGTGGGGTGCATTCTGATATTTTCCATTCCATTTTTTAAATGCTGGTCGTGATACTAAACACATTTTATAATCTACCAGTGGCTCACAACCTGCAGTTTGAAAAGCAGTGACCTAGTGAACTCCTTTAATCATTTCCTCTTCTTTGTTATTAATTCTGGAACATGTCTACTTTTATCTCTTTGCAAAGGGAAAATACTCAATTGAACTGTCTTGTCATCCAACCCATTATGAATTTCTCTGTGGTCTGTGGTCCCAGGCCAGCCTTTGGTGCCAGCTAGTTCCTTCCTGCAAATCAACCATATGTTGAGCCTGCACTTTGGGCACCTGCACCCCAGGGCCAGGTGCCCACAGGCGTGCAGGTCAGTCAGTGCCCGGTTCTTGAAGAAGTGACACCATTATTCAGCGCAGACAAGTACTTGGTCAGAGGGTGGCCCCTTCATGAAGTGCAGTGAGCTCCTTGGAAGCTGTCAGGTGATCAGTGAAGGCTTCAGGGAGCACAGATCTGAGCAGGGGAAGAAAGCAAGGGGAGAGTAATGCCAGGAGATGTCTGGGACTTTTCTCAGCAGAAGTAGGGAGCTACTGATGATTTTTGAGCTAGGTAATTACAAGATGAGATGAAGGTTTCCAGAAAGTTAGTCTGACAAGTCCATTCAGCATTCATTCAACACGTACGTAGTAAGTACACTCTATATTTCAGGCACTGTTCTAGGCCTTCAGAATATTTCAATGAACAAAACAAACGTCCCTGCCTTCTTGGAGCATATACTCCAGCAGTGGAGTTGGGGGCAGGGGAGTCAAGCTTACCTTGTTTGTAAGCAATACTGTGTGTGGCGGGTGGTAAGTATGATGGAAAACTGAAAAGGAGAATGGAGGTGGTCAAGAGTGGCTCGGGAGGGGTGCCTCCTGCAGGGCGCCTGGAGCCTGGCAGAGGATCAGGGCGTGGCTGGGGTGGGGATGCGGCCTGAGCTCCTGCAGTGGTGGTGGGGGGGGGAGCGGAGGGCCAGCATGGTGGGGCTGTCAGCCTCGTGTTCCTGTTCTTTCAGAAACACGATGTACAACATCCGGGGCAACAGGCAGGGCCCGGGAGCAGGCCACGGACCTCCAGGGGGAGATTCTCCACCAAGCGGGGAGCCTCGGAGGGAGGAGCAGGCCTCGCCCGCTGACCCCAGCGCCCCAGGTGAGCTTCCGTCCAGGTCTAGGCTGCCTTCAGAGACCGACTGAATGCCCTCTCTCCTCCCCGGAAGCCAGCATTTCTGCATTTGTGTGTCAAAGATGGATCTTTCCAGGTCACTCTTCCTGGGTTGCCATGGGTCTAATGGCAATGACGACTCTTCTTTTTTTTTGTGGTAAAATATTCATAACGTATAATTTACCATTTTAACCAACTTTAGGTGTAGAGTTTAGTGGCATTAAGTACATTGACCTTATGCAACCATCACCACCATCTATCTCTAGAACTCTTTTCATCTTCCCAGACTGAAACTCTTAGCAATGATTCTTGAAGTATTCAAAGGAAAATATCTCTCACTTTTTCTTTCTACTGTTGTTTTTTTTTTTTTTTTTTTAATAAGGAAAGGATATAGAAATGCTTTTCTGGGGTGATGAAAATCAGATCTGCCTGAAGAAGCAGAGCAAATGACCTTTAGGTACCCATCCCAGCCATGACATAGCCTTGTATTATTTCTTTCACAAAATGTGGGTGACCCCCACCGTCTAGGGGATTTGACTTCTTTGAAATTGGCATTGGTGCCCTTAGAATATATTTTGCCTTAGAAGCAGTTAGGAGAAAACCGGCTAAGGCAGCACTGCCAGGTCTTCTCGTGGCAGAGAGGAGGCCTGGGCTGTGGAGAAGTGACTCTAGAAAAAGCACCTCTTCGGAGCAGTGCCTGGTGAGGCCCTGCAGATCACTGGGAACAGGCCAAGAGAAGATCAGTACTGGATTGAATCAATAATAATAATAATAATAAAACTAGCACTTATCCGTAGCAGTTCCTTTGTGCCCGGGCTACTCTGAGCACTTTTGTTTTTGGTAACAGTTTTATTAAGATATGATTCACATGCCATGCAATTCACCCATTTGAAGTATACAATTCAGTGGCTTTCAGTTTATTCACAGAGTTGTGCAACCATCATAATCAATTTTAGAATGTTTTTATCACCCCAAAAAGACAGCTTCGTCCCTCAGCCATCAGTCCTGGTCTCCACCTCACTCTGGCTCCAGGCGACCACTAATCTGCTTTCCGTGTCTATACATTTGCCTATTCTGGAGGGTTCACATAGATGGAATCTACAATATGTGGTCCTTTATGACGGACTTCTTTCCCTTAGCAGAACCTTTTCAAGTTTCATCCGTGTGTGCAGAGCGCTTTACCTGCCTTAACGTATGTAATCCTTGCAACAACCTGAGCAGTAGATACTGTTGTTGTTCTCATTTAATAAATGCGGAAACTGAGGCACAGGAAAGTGGAGTGACGAGCTCACGGCCGCACAGTGAGGCACAGAACTAGGATTCAGGCCGAGCACTCTGGCCCCATACTGCTGCCTGAAGCCTTGTTTTCTAAATCAGTGATTTTTCAAAATACTACTGCCGTGAAACCTTGACGCCATAAACAAAATCTAATATACAAAGCAGGTAAAAATAGAGTTGAGGCCCGGGCGGGAGTCCGGGCTCCCCTCGGCTCTTCCCGCCTTGTGCCCCTCCAGTCAGCCCTGAGGCACCCCAGGAAATGCTAGGGCACTGATTGAAAACCACTGCCTAGGCCTTGTCTTCTCTAGCTGTAAAATGGGCACAGTGATCCCTACCCTGCCTGCCCTCAGGGTTGCTGGACAGTGGTGTCATCAGAGGGCAGAGGGCTACAGGGAGCTCCCTGCTCTCCTAGACCCCGAGGCAGGAAAGAGAAAGCGGCTTGCTTTGAGCTCTGCGGTCTGCTTTGTACCCGGCACAACCGGATTTCTTTTAGGTCTGGAACAAGACCATTCTCTTCTTGTGCCCAAAAAGGCCACGGAGTTTCTGGTCCCTGGCACCTACTAGGGTAGTTCTTTATCTGTTCAAGGCTGCTTGGCCGGCCCTTAGCCTGGTCCCCAGAATAAAGATGCTGTCATTTGGCTCATCCTCCCAGTCCTGCCTGCCTCCTCCCCTGGGATCCCATACCACATCCTTATTTTTAACACCTTAGTCGCAAAAGGATTGAGGATAGATTATTAAAATACATATCAGGGGAAAGTAAATGAGTAATTTGGGTTAGGAAATTAGATAAGATCCTAGAGGGTAGCTAAGGGTGGGCAGCAGATGTGGCCCTGAGCTTCTCAGCGGCCAAAGCAAAGAGGGAAATGCAAGTGGTTAGATTATTTCCAGTGTCCATAAGACTGAACACGTTTTCTTGGAAGAAGCAAAGCTTTTTCTGGCTTTGAGGGCTGAGGGGAGTTTCTCCTCTTGGGGCCTTATAACAGCATGTTGTTGTAGGGGAAGAGGGAGAATCGCCTTCTGCCCTTTCCCTTAAGGTTCTTCTGGCTGGCCAAATAATTAACAAGACAGGTTAGCAGGAGTAAATAATACCAAGTTTAATAACATGTATACATGGGAGAAAGCAGGGACACTGTGTTTCTCAACACAGTAGCAGAAATTCTTGTCTTAAATACCACGTTTAGCCAATGACAAAGGAGGATGTTGGGGGTGGGGGGAGTCAGTTACAGGAGATTACCACTAAAGCACAGTAAACAAGAGTAAGGTTATTATGCAGATTTAAGGCCTCACCATCCACATTGATAAGTTTCTAGAAATGAGGTCATCCCCCCTCTTCCCAATACAGAGAGGGAGATACCTTTACAAATGGAGATTTCCCTTATAAATGTAAATGTTTGTCTGGCAACTCCTTGCAGGGCCATCCAGAGAATGTGGCCAGAGAGAAAGAACTTCTGATAAGATGTGCTTGTTGGTGCCTTTCCTATCTATTTTACCTTATATTACAGCAATCAGATAGAAGATCTGTTCCAGGAAGGAGTTAGTATGTCAAATTCTTTAGGCAGTTATCGGGGGAGGTCAAATGTCCATCAGAGAAAACAATCAAGGTAAGGAGATATATTTCAGGGTGGCCAAATCTTGATCTCCCACAATGTGTATGTGCCATGTAAACAAGATTCTCAAAGTTCCTTGACCAAATAATCAGGCCATTAAATGTCCCTGGATGCAGGCTGATGGCAGAGCCCTAAAGTATAGGCTGAGGACAGGGCAGGACAAGGTGGCTAGACTGAGTGAGTCTGATGTTGAATTTGGTTTAAGAATAAAATGTAGCAATGGTCGGCAAATGTTTTTTGTAAGGAGCCAGAGAGTAAATGTTTGAGGTGGCGTGAGCCATAGGTCTCTGTCGCAGGTACTCAGTTCTGCCCTTGTGGAGTGAAAGCAGTACAGACAATGCACCAACAAACGGGCATGACTGTATTCCAATAAAACTTTATTTAAAGAAGCCAGCTGCGGGCCGGATTTGGCCTGTGGGCCATCAGTTGCTGACCCTGGCTCTAGAAGAAATAAAAGGACTGTGCAGCCTTGAGGCAATCAGCTGTGGGAAATGTCTCCTAACTTGTCTCATAATAAGAATCAAAGAGGAGTTTGAGTTACTCTCTGGGACAAGCATGCAGAGTAAATATTCCATGCTCCTATCAGCAGACAGATCTGTGTACTTCGAAAATCACCCGGAGGGTAGAGGTGGAATCCTGACATAAGAAACAAGACTTCCTGCCAGGGCTTGTGCCTGAGGAGGTGGCCGCCTGGCAGACACCAGCGGGTAGTAAGATGGCCCATGCAGGCTGGGATCCAAGAGTAGGGGACAGGCCCAGTTCAGAGGATGGGCTGAAGGACCCGGCCAGCACAGTGTAAATAATGTTTATATCATCCAGTTGTTCTCAGTTTGATCCCTGGACAGGCTGCATCAGCATTACCTAGGAACATTCCAGAAATGCAAATTCTCCAGCCCCGCCCCAGGCCCATTGAAGGAAAAGATCTGGAGTAGGTCCCATGATCTGCATTTTCCCAAGCCCTCCAGGTGTTTCTGCAGCAGGCTCAAGTCTGAGAACTACTGAGGCCACTGATCGGAACCTCTGTTTCTTCTCTCGAGCAGGGAGAGATCCAGCAGATTCTCCAAAGCCCACCCCCAAGTCCTCTCTGACCAGCAATCTCATTCAGAAAGCCAAGCGCCAGAACAACACCTTCCCGCTCTTCGGCGAAGGACTGGCGTGGAGCCGGACTGGCCAGGAGAAAGTGTCAGCCTTGGAGCAGCAGGTTCTGGCCCTCACGGAGGAGCTGAAGTCTCAGAAGGTGAGCTCTAGCCCCAGAGAGGCCCAGGCGCCAGGAGGCCCCTCTGAACCTGGAGCCTTTGGACAAACGAGAGACAATGCGTTAGCCCGGCTGGCGTAGGCTGGGCTGTGGTCCTTAAGGGCCACGTGCAGGTGGTTGGAAATGCTGTGCTGTTGGTTCCTGAGGAACATGCTGTCACTCACACTAGGTGACAGAAGACCACCAAGAGCAGGATCTCTGGAGACCTACTTTAATAATTCTTTCTTGGACCCCTCCTGGAGGACTGTGCTTGGTCTGACCCCATACCCAAAGAGGGACAGTATTTAGAGGAGGTGATCTGGATGTAAGGTCCTGGGAGGGGCCACCAAAGGAACTGGAGGATCTTGGACCTGGCAGCTGGTAACTGGGTGCAGCTCTCGGAAGGACTGTCACTGGAAGGACTGTCACAGGACGGAGAAAGCAGGCGGGTCTGCGTGGCCCTGGGGCTGAGCCAGACCCAACAGGGGACAGTGACAGGAAGATTTAGGCTTAATAGAGAAGTTAATTATAGAGCTACATGGTCATTGTAAGGCAGATCACACACATACGCAGACATTAAAATCATTCGGAAATCCTATAACCCAGAGAGTAAATCATGTTTACGTTCAGGGGTGACCATATGAAGTAGTGAGCGTCAGACGGCAGGGAGGCGAGGGGCTTGCAGCGCTGGGCAGAAGGCTCTCTTTGGCACCATAAAAGCAATTAAGTTAGCACAGTTGTTATTGAAAATCCCAAGGGTGGTGCCTGCTGGCATCTCCAGGAGGTGGAGGACCCAGTGGAGGACCCAGGGGATCCCCACTGAGGACCCAGGCTCCTTTTCCTCTGCAAGGAAGGCCTAAGCTTTTATGTTGGAGCTTTGGCTGCCCTGAGTCTCTGCTTTGTTTCCCAGCTCTTGCTCCTGGGGAGGTGAGGGAGTGTACTGTATTTATTTCTGAATGTTCTCCCTCTTGTACATTTCTCCTTTTCCTTTCTGTTCTGTGTTTGGAGAAGGCAGTCCAGAAAAATGCTCTCCTTACCTATTTTGCCCCTCCTCTGCCTTTCTTGACCCTAAGCAGGTATTAGGGGAATCAGCAGATGCTTCATTCCTGGCAGGTCAGGGGTTACATTTAATGAAGTGGCTGGTGATTAGAGCTCTCAAGGAGGAAGCTCATTCATTCGTATGTTCTAAATTTATTTGTTTGTCCCCCAGGTCTTCATTGAGGGCCTGTTATGTGCACGCAGTGTTCCGGGTGCTGGGAACAAACAGACGAAGGCCCAGCCCTTGCAGAGCTTACATTTCGTGGCAGAGAGCAGCGTTAAGCAAATCAACACCCAAATAATTATTACAGCATGCCAAGTCCCCTCTGATGCCAAGTAGCAGTCCAGCTCTCTCTCTTCTCCTCCCATCATCTTTGTGTTCCTGTTGTGAGGCTGCTGGACGCTCGTGAGAGCTGAGAGGGCATAAAGCCGAGCTGTAGCAGCTGCCTGATCCCTGGACCAGTACAGCTTAAGTCCCAAACCAGACCCTGGACAGGAAAAGAAATCTGGAATGTAAACTCCACCTCTCCTGACACCACACTTTCCCCTTCTTTCTAGGAAATATGTGCAGCCTCCCTTGCCTCAGCCTTTCCTTCTAAGGCATTATGAATTGTCAGATGAAGGAGAGAGGCCCCAGGAGCCCTAGATTCCGTTTAGGTTTGCCCCGATGGCTGTGCGCCCCGAAGGACCGCAGTAAATGAAGGCGAGCTCTAGATCAGTGAGGGCCACCCAGGCTGTTAACCACTCCCTGCAGTGAGAGTGAAAATGTCAGGAGGAAGTTGTTCAAGTGTTAAAGGATCTGGACTTTCTTCCTAGTTCACTTTCCAGCACACCTCGGCCCCGTCCTTGGGCAGAGAGTCGGGAGAACAGGTCAGGCAGTTTTACCTTTGACTCGCGATGGGAGTGGATTTGCCTGCTCTCTGACCCATCTCGCAGTTGCACCTCAGTCTGGTGGGCGATTCAGAGCACAGGCCTTTAACTAAGATGGTGCAGGCCCCAATTCCAGCCCTGAGCAAGTTTCTTAACCTCTCTAAGCCTCTCTTCCTCCTCCGTAAGTGGAGTTATAACCATGTTTACTGGAGAGCCGTGTGTCCGGATTCATAGAGCCCCGTGCCTTCATTATTTCAGCTGGTATTGTGGTGTTCCCTGCCCTCCTTGTTGATTCCTTTCTGCCTTACAAGGAGTGACACACCCCTGTGTGGCTCTGGGAAGATGTGAGCCCACGAGGGCCTCTGGGAAATGTGCTTGTGGGGCACAGCAGTGATAGAGGTCAGGTCTTCATTCCATGTTAGGAAGGGGGAGTCCCAGCCCTACCAGCTCCAGCCCAGATACCAAAACCAAAGAGGGGATGGAGATAAGGAGACTGACTCTCGGCCCAGAGGTAGGAGAGAAGAGGCAGCACAACCTCGGGTGCCCAGCGGTGCCCCAGGCACTCAGAAATGCTGGTCAGAGAGCACCTCTCCATCTGAAACCCTCCCAGTCCAGTTCCTCAGCTGGGGAAACAGGCCCCTGGACTTCCCTGGGCCCACATCTACAAGATGCCCTCCTGTGACTCTTCAGTGGGAAGGCACCATCTTTCTGCCTGGGAACTGAGAGTCTTGTCCTGGCTCAGACAGCCAGCTGGCCACTGCCAATAGCTTTAGTGATCTTTTAAGAATTTGTATCTTGCACTCTGTTGGATGCTATGGAGGGCACAGAGGTATGTTGGGGCCAGATCCCTGCCCTTGGGGACCTCACCGTCCAGTGGGGAAGAGACGATATGAGCACAAATAACTGCTGGTATTAAGTGTGGGCCCAGCTCTGTGCTGGGGCTTTCGTGCATTTTCTCTAATCCTTACAACAATTATCAGCCCCCTTTTCCTGACAAGGAAACTGAGGTTTTGAGAGGTTCTGCATGCCCAGGGTCTCCCAGGGGCCGAACCAGGGTCCAGAATCTGGTTTCTCTGCCTCTAGAGCTTCTGCCCTTTTCACTGTGCCATGCTTGAGGGGCTCAGATAAGCTAGGTGACTTGCCCGAGGTGACACAGCTGGAGAAGCCAGGACTGGGGCCCTAGTCTCCTTCTCCAGGTCCAGGACTGTCATCACAGCCTGGCTGCCTCCTCCTTGGGCTCACGGTACGGCCCAGGACCAGACACAGCACCATAACTGCTCTTTGAAAAAAGTGAACACACTCCCTGTGCCTCCCTGGTGTCATATTAAACCACAGAGCGACTCTGACACCCATTAAGCCATTGTCTGTCCCAGGCCCCTGCAGCCCTGGCCCCACAAGAGATTTGGACTCCAGGAGATAGCACCAGATGGCTGCTTGGCCAGGCGATTCAGGCCCTCCGAGTTGACAGAATTGCACCCAGCCTGAAGGCTGTCTCTCTGGCAGATGGAAGGCTGTTGTTTGTGGTCATGTTAGCCATCTGTTGGCTGCTGGGAATGAGGAGCCCCTGGGGCACTCTGGGGCCAATTTAGCTCACCCCAGGTCACATGGTGAGGGCCCGTAATTTAGGAAACTCGGTGGGGGAAAGTGCAGCCTCCTACTTCCCTAGAAGCCCAGCCAGAGACTTCAGAGTCCACTCCCCCGTGCAGGGTACAGGCCTGGGTCCTGAAGTCATGGAGGGATGGTCGAGAGGGACCCTGGCTGTTTCAGCTTGGGGAGGGACACTTGCCACCCTTTCTCTCATCCTTTCCACGACTCTCGGTGGAGCAGGGATCATTGTCTCCATTGTACCTACGAGAAAGCTGAGGTTCAGTTTTCTGAAACACCCTCATTAGACACACACTCGTGGATCTGGAATGAGAACCGAGGCCTCTGGAACTCCAAAGCCCTTGTTCCTTCACCTGCACTCAGCCAGCCCTTAGGGGTCAGTGGCCGACCTGCTGGACTCCCAGTCCAGTGCTCTTTCCTCGAGCACTGTTGGGCCCACCCCCCTTGATTTTAGTGAGTAATGAAAGTATCAACTCTTTAATTAAAGACGAAGGATTAATTTTTAAAAGATGACTTATTGGCTTTTAAAAATTTAAATGAAATGACAACTTATGACCAGTTATCAAAGTCTGAGATGGGCCAAACAATGATTTGATTAAGGAATATTAAAAGTATCACTTGATCAGCTCTTCTACTTCTAAGAATTGGTCCTAAGGCATTGCTTATAATTGTGGGAATTGGAAACAGCCCAGATGTCCATCCTTGGGGGTGGCATTAAGGGAATTCATCCACACAAGAAATACTCTTGAACTATTGCAAACAGTGGTGTTGCTCGGTACTGACCAACATGGAGAGTGCCGTAGCATATCAGAAGGACAAAAGCAGCTTCAAACGGGATGTATTGCAAGCTTCTCTTTTTGTTTTTAATATTTCTCTATGGTGTGTATGTGTGTTTTTGTGACTGGCTTATCTCACTTAGCATAATGTCCTCAAGCGTCATCCATGTTGTAGCATGTGACAGGATTTCCTTCTTTTTTAAGGCTGAATAATATTCCAGTGTGTATATATGCCACATTTTGTTTATCCATTGACCATCAGTAGACACTTGGGTTGTTCCTACCTCTTGGGTATTGTGAATAATGCTGCTGTGAACATGGGTTATTTCCATTTTTAAAGACATTTAAAGAAGCATTTCAATGCAAAATACATTAACTAGGCATCATGGAGAAGTGAAGGATCCTGGAGGAGGAGTTGGGAGCCCTCTATTACGGCCTGTTTTCCCACTCGTGGGGATCCACCAGGTCCCTTTAGTCCTCTCCTCCTTTCTTGGGCTTCAGTCTCCCCAGGTGACAGCAAGGTGAGTGGACCAGGTGGTTTCCCTGCCAGCCTCCAGGTTTTCTGAATCGTGATCCGTTCCCCTCCTCATCTTACACTTCCTACTCCAGCTCCATCCCTCTCCCCGGATCCTTTCTCCTTATCTCATTCTGGTGCAGGGATTCTGGGATGGGAGGAGAGCCTCCTGGGCTGGTGTCTTGGTCTTGGATTTTGAGAGCCAGATGTGGGCAAGGAGAGACAGCTGGATGTAATGAACTGGGCTTCAGAGTTGACTCTCCCAAGGCTGGGGGAAATGTACCCACCTGATCTGAGCCCAAGGCAAGTCTGAGCAGTGGTCTCTGTAGGTTATTTCACCAGGCGTCACCCACGGTAATCTCCAGATCTCAGCTGAACCAGGAAAGGGTCTAGGCTTCTCAGTTACCCTGGAGCCACGGGAATGTTAATCTCTCTATGCACAGCCCTGGGAAGCTGATTTCTTCATTCCCAACATTCCGGTTTGGTTTGCAACCACCCTCCCCACCCTACCTTCTGGCCACACCCAGCAACTCCCACAGCTCCACACACGCTCCCCTGTTCGTCTGGGCCTTTGCCAACCTGCTGCTTGACCATCTCTGGCCCTCCTCATTCTTCACGATCAGTTTAAACTGCTCTGCCTTTCTATAGAATGCACTGGTGTTCCCCCACCTGCACCCCAGGTGGAAGTCATTGCTTGGTGCTCTGTGCCCCCACAGAGACCCTTGCTTCCCTCTCTTGCAGTAAATAGTTCCATTACACCTTTGCTCCCACCAGCCTTAGTGGTCCCTGAAGGTGGGAACTGTGTCCAGTCCCTCTCTGGGCCCCAGCGCCTGGCACCGGGCCTGGCACTGAGTGGGTGCTTGATAAAGGTCGATTGGATGGACGGACAGATGGATGGATGGATGGATGGAAGAGAGAGAACCAGAGAAGGGTTCTGCTACCAAGGTTTCAGAAGATGCATGCTAATTTGGTCTTGTCATTAGCTTCTCAAATAAAATCATGATTTTGGGCAGTTCTCCTCCAAAATGGAATTGTTCTTAGCAAATAACCTTATCCAGAGGATCCATTTATTTAAATACTTTGGCATGCATGTGGTTAATGCATCTCCAGGAAACCATGTTTTTCCAGATGAGACTGGCACGGAGCACAGTATTGTAGCCTAAAGGCCCTACCCGCCAGGTCTGAGGTTCATGTGGGCTGCCTGCTGAGCTACCTGGCTTTTGATATTCAGATCCTGGCCCTAAATGAGTTCACCTCCCTGCTTGGGGGCAGGACAGGTCCCTGAGTGCTGCGGATGTTGGGAGCTCGAAGGCACAGGAAGCCGAACCTTGAGTTTCCACATGAATCAAGTGCCCCTGCCGAGGAATAATTCGAGGTCCGAGGTCCGTTGCTTCTGAACTCTAGTGCTTCCTTGCACCAGCCTTGCAAGCGTCATATGGGGGGTTGAGGGGGCTGGGTACAAGTGGATTGAATGAGGCTCTCTGTGTGGGGCTTGGCGTGAGGATTGCCAATGAGTGTCCTCTCTGATGCCATCTCAGCTCGATTGGTAGTGACTGCTCAGATGCTGTGTTCAGAAGGATTCTGAGGCCTCAACTAGGCTTGGCAGGAAGGAGTATTGAGATTAATTAGTAATGTCCGCCACAGGGGTGACGTTGCTGCCACCCCTGCTTTCGTTACTGACCGAGCACAGGTTTTGGAGTCTGGATGATATGGGATTAAATTCCACTCTACTCTGCTGGGCCTCAGGTTATTCATCTCTGAAATGGACATGCAATAGTCAGGGTATGGGCTTAGCTGCTGTAACAAAGAAGCCTCACAGTACTGTGGCCTAAAACCATTTGGCAGTGTGTTTCTCTCCCACATTCTCATAGGAGACTCCAGAGGAAAGTGAGCAGTTCTGAGCTGGTGGGGCAGCTCTGCCATCCTCTCCATGTAATTTCTGCTTGTGGCCCAAGGTGGCTGCCAAGTCCAGCCATTTCCCAGCGAGAAGGAAGGGGAACTGCACCTGGGGAGCCTGTGTGTAGTGGTTTTAATGATATGACCCAGAAGCTGCCCACATCATTTGTCATATCCGTTTAGGCAGAATAGTCACTCGGCCATACCTCACTGTAAGCTTGGCTGGGAAGTAGTCTTTAGCTGGGGAACCATGGGTCCAGCTAAAACTTTCTTGAGCAGAAAAAGAGGAAGTGGGCGCTGGGATGGGATGCCCCAGGGGACAGTGCTGGCCGCCCCTCAGGGCTGTTAGGAGAACTGGCGATAGCACACGCCTCGCCTCTGGCACCTGCCAGCCTTCCCCGAGTTCACGGGCGCTCCCCTCCCCGCCCAGGAGCTGGTGAAGATCCTGCACAAGGCGCTGGAGGCCGCGCAGCAGGAGAAGAGGGCGTCCAGCGCGTACCTGGCCGCGGCCGAGGACAAGGACCGGCTGGAGCTGGTGCGGCACAAGGTGCGGCAGATCGCGGAGCTGGGCCGGCGCGTGGAGGCCCTGGAGCGGGAGCGGGAGAGCCTGGCGCAGACGGCGGGCCTGCGCGAGCAGCAGGTGCAGGAGCTGCAGCAGCACGTGCAGCTGCTCCTGGACAAGAACCAGGCCAAACAGCAGGTCATCTGCAAGCTCTCGGAGAAGGTCACCCGGGACTTCATGCAGCCCCGGAAACAGCCCCCCGGCCCTCCAGATGCTGCCGACAGGGACTTCCTGAGCCAGCAGGAGAAGATGGAGCACCTGAAGGTAGGGCCCCTCCCTCCAGGCCCTGGGCCCTTGGGAAGGATGCTGCTCTCAACACGAAGGGTCTTCTAGATAGAGCAAGGGTAACCCTTTTTTTTTAAATTTTATTTATTTTTTTCCCCCCAAAGCCCCAGTAGATAGTTGCATGTCATAGTTGCACATCCTTCTAGTTGCTGTATGTGGGACGCGGCCTCAGCATGGCCGGAGAAGTGGTGCGTCGGTGCCTGCCCGGGATCCGAACCCGGGCCACCAGCAGCGGAGTGCGCGCACTTAACCGCTGAGCCACGGGCCGGCCCGTGGGGTAACCCTTAACACTGGAATATTTGTTATTTGACATACACGTTGCTAGAAGCATTGCAACACACTTCCTCACTTTTTTAACCTGGTTAAGGAAGCAACGTGACCTTTTCATGATATCCTAGGCTGAAAAGGGAGGGCGTCTCTAGATTGTCAGATTGAGAGATGAAGGGCCCAAGATGGAGTTGGAGCTCCTGAGTGCTGGACCAGCTCAGTCTGGGCCTGGCCCTGTCAGCCTCCCTTAGTGCCATGCCGATGCCTCAGGAGCCCCCAAGTGCCCGGGTGGCCCTCCCCGGCAGTCCCGCACACAGTACAGGTGACCGTGGCCAGCTGTGACTTGCTCGTGATAATGGCAGTGATCACTGCTCCTAGTTATAGAATATTTACTCTGTTAGGCACCGTCCTAAGTGCCTTCCTGCATCATGTCACTTAATCCTCACATCAACCTACAAGGTAATCCCGTGCGTGCTCCCACTTTACAGACAGGAATGCTGAGGCTGGCAAGGTGAAGTAACTTGCCCAGGGTTGAGTGCTGAGGAAGTGGGGGGACTGGAACTGGGGTGCAGCTCCCATCTCTGGCTGGTCTGTCCGCTCTGCTGCCTTCCCGCTTCGTTGCCTCTTCTAGCTACTGCCACCATCCCTGCCTCACCCTAGCCAGACTCGAGGCCTGCACCTGGGGATGGCTGCCCTCCCACGGGGAGCCATTACAGCACGGGGACAGGAGCTTTATTTTAGGTGTCATGCTGGCCATGGGCTGCAGCCTCCTCTCTAGAGGGTGGTGACGGGAACCGCCAGACCACCTGGAGGGCTGGGATAGGGACTCATGGCTCACTGTCCCTAAAGGCAGCCGGAGAACCTGGGCTGGTTCTGCCCCAAACCCTGGCACTCGCAGCCACAGACGTAGACATAGTATAACCATGGGAACTCCCATGCTGCCATATCACAGAATCGCTGTTGGGGAAGGAAAAAAAGAAATCTGGAAGCTTTTGAGAGACCAGTGGCAGTGTGGTATAGTGGTCACTGCGCAGGCTCTGAAGCCAGGCCAACTGTTTGAATCCTGCCTCTGAAGTGATCTCACCTCTATGCAAAATGACCTCAGCAGTCCATTCACAGAGTTGTTAGGAGGATGGAGGAAGATAACATGAAACCCAGATGCCCTTCCCCTTCTTTCAGCATGAAACACCGCAGAACCAGTCCTGACTCTTTTCTCTTAAAATCAGAGATTCTTCTGAGTTCAAGTGGAAGGAGATCCTTTGAGGCGCAGACGCAGCCAGGTTGTTAGAAAGCTCTAGGGCCTCACGCGGCAGTGGGCGGTGGACGTTGCCTCCATCAGGCTGCTCTCCTCCTCTGTTCTGCCCTCCCCCGCCCGGTGTCTTCCTCTGTGCCCTGCCTGCTGGGACCCAGGGCTGAAGACCCCAAAGAGCAGCCGGGAGCACAGACAAATAGACCCGCCGGCTGCCTCCAGACTGCCCCAGAAAGCTGACCAGAAACTTGCGCTTGTCTAGGAGACCAAGCACCCCTGCGTTTGCACATTCAGGAATTTAATTTGTCAGTGAGCCCGGAGGGGAGGAGACCCCGGCTGTGATTCACGTCAACCAGACTGACGTTTGCAGCTGATCCTCTGAGGCCCCGCATTTTGTGCTTGCAAGCATTGCTAGCACAATGCATAAGGAACTAGAGTTCCTTATGTGTTAGTCTGTAGGTGTCTGATCTAGAAAAAATAGGAGACCCATCAAAAATCCATTGTCTTTTTTTTTTTTTTAAAGATTTTATTTATTTATTTATTTTTCCCCCAAAGCCCCAGTAGATAGTTGTATGTCATAGGTGCACATCCTTCCAGTTGCTGTATGCGGGACGCGGCCCCAGCATGGCCGGAGAAGTGGTGCGTCGGTGCGTGCCCAGGACCCGAACCCGGGCCGCCAGCAGCGGAGCGTGCGCACCCAACCGCCAAGCCACGGGGCCGGCCCAAAAATCCATTGTCTTTAAGTTGTAGACAGTGCGTCGTCCCATTTCCTGCTCACCCTGTGGTTGAGGACACCCAGCTTTGAGGAAATGCCCCTTGTTGAAGCTGTCAGTTTGAGAATAGCATCAGTGACCTCTTCAGTATCAGAGCTGGGGAGACTCCGAGGCCTGGTCTGCCCCTCATTTTCTGGCGGGGACAGCTGAGCCCTCTGGAGGGGAAAGGACTGCTCCAGGGTCACACAGCATCGGCAGCAGGATTGCAGCTAGACCCAGGTCTCCCCACACCCAATCTGCTGCTTCCCTAGCCGCGCAGGGGCTGGTCCACGCAGCATTTCCCGAAGAGAGCCCGGGTTCCTGGTCCCTTGTAGGTGGCCAGCAGACTTCCTCCTGTCCCCTTTCTTCAGGTGTGTTTTCCTCCTTCACCTCCCTGGTGACTGTCACGTGGCTTTTCTCTTCTCTGAGGTCTCTTTTTCCTCCTACAGTTCCGAGCCAGGAAGATCACTCCAGGTAGGGCGATGAGCTGAATGGGAAGGTGCTGCCCAGACGCCACCCCACCCCACGCCCACTGCTGCTCCAGGAGGCGCTCACCCCTGCCTCGCTGTCTAGCCTGGAAGCAGGGCACCCTATGCGACATGTCCAAAGCCTGGGAAATGCCCGTGAGCATCTTCTGGGCCTGGGATGAGGAATGAGGGGTGGCACCAGGAGGCAGAACCGCTTGGTGGTGTCAGGTAGACCCGATATGCTCCCACCCAGCAGAATTTGTCAGATCCTACCGTGGACTGAACATACCTGGGTTTGCATCCTGGCTCTCCGTGCTGGCTGCATGACTGAGGAGACCGTACCTTCTTGGGCCTGCTTCCTCATCTGTAAGTGGCAGGGATAGGACTTGAGTACTTACCCCACAGCGTGTGGTAAAGATTAGATTACACACGATGATGAATGTGAGGGAAATGGGCCGGCACATAGTAGGAACTCAAGCAGGCTAGCTCTTGTCTCCCTTGCCTGGAGGCCTGTTGCATTTCCCCAGGCGTTTGGGAAGGATCTGCAGGAGCAGCAGTGGGAAGCCTTCTCTCGGCAGGCGAAGGGGGAGCACGGTGGGTAAGAGTCGCTCTCGAGATGTTGAGAGCGCGGTGAGGGAGACGACACTCGCACTGCACTCACCACGTGTCACCATGCTAAGCCTTCCGCACATATTAACCAATGAGATCCTCCCAGCAGCCCCTGAGGTGGTACTGTTATTAGCCCCATTTTCCAGATGAGGGGATGAGGCACAGAAAGGGTGAGTAACTTGTCCTGGGCTCTGCGGTGAAGGCAGGATTTACATCCAGGCCGCCTGGCCCTGGGGCCTGTTCCCTGACCGCTGGGCAGCTCCAGCACTCGGGCGGCGCCTGCGGCGCTGCTGGGTTCTTGTTGTACTGCCCGGTAGGAGAGGGCAGACAGGCCTGCGCTGCGCACCTTCAGCCAGGAGACCACCAAGTCCCACCTTGAAGGGTGGGACTAGACTTTTGGTCCAGGTGGATTCCAGCAGGGAGGGAGCTCAGAGAGCGTGAAGGCAGCGAGTGCAGTGGTTAGGACTTGGCTTTAGAGTCACACAGACCTGGGCTCAGTCACACCCTGCCTGTACCAGCTGTGTGACCTCAGGCAACTTACTGATCCTTTCAGAGGCTCTGAGACCTCATCTGTGTTACTCTCTGGGCTTCTGGGAGGAGTAACTGAGATTGTGTCGGGTGGGGAGAGGAGGGTGATGGTGCAGGGAGCACAGGCCCGCTAGCCTGTGTGCTCATAAGTTTTCTGAATCCCCGGACGCTGCAGAGTAAGGTTGTCATGGGCGTGAAGAGTAGTCCTGGAAGATCCTGATGCTCATAGGAGGTTGGGCCTGGCACTGCCCACAGGAGAATCCACACCAGTCTCATCGCCTCCTTCCACGTAAGGAGAAGGAAATGGAGGTCGTGGGGGGAAAGCAGGCAGACACTTGCCCGTTAGAGTAGCCGGCACCCCTGGCAGCATTGCCAAGAGAAGGGAGCCCAGGGCAAGGACACGGCTGGAGAGTAGGAGGAAGTCCAGGCTGGGGAGTTGAACTGCCCAGGTCCAGGGCAGGAGGAGAGAGCAGAAGCAAGCATAGCCTGAGTAGAGCCCTCAGCCCAGGCACAGTGACAGAGACGAGAGCAGGGGAGGCCAGGGCGGGGATGCGAGCCCCAATAGAGGGGTGCGGGGGCGCGTGGTGAAGTCAGCCCGGAGCATTTATTTCCAGCTCCAGGAGCCCTGGGGCCTGTGGCCCACCCACTCTGTCAGCCGTCTGGGCGTGAATCGGGGACCTTGGAGATCATCTTGGCCAGAATGAAGACCCACCCAGGGAGGCTCAGGATCACCTGTGAGCTGTGCGCAGGTGACCCAGCCCTGGTGGTAGTGCCACAGGCCAGGTGTGATGTTGCTAATTTTCAGGTAAATCAGGGCCTCTCCAAAGTCATCCCTGCAATAGCATCTCTCACGCTCACCTACAGGCCAGGACATTTTCTCGAGTGGGAGAGAAAGGGGTTGAGGTTCAGCTCGTAGATGCCCTGGAATTGCTAGGTGTGGCGGTGAGCATGTGCTGTGTGTTTGAATGGCTTCTGCAGCATCCGTCCAGCAGAACGAAGACAGCGCCACTGCTGCGGCTGGGGCTCCTCCTCTCTGAGGCCCAGGCTCCTGCTGGCACCTCCCTGGCGCTCCGCCAGCTTCTCCTGCAGGCTCCAGCGGCAGCATCTCACTGCCTCCACTGGACAGCTTCAGAGGGGAGACTCCAGGCTCAGAGACGTACATCACAGCCTCAGCCGTGTTCAGAAACAACCTGAAAACACCCAGGGCTTAAATAAAAAAATAACAGGAGAAGGATTCTAACAAAGTTATGGTAAATTCACCCACTAGAATAGTCATCAGACATTAAAAATGATCATTGGGAAGCATATGTAACAACATAGAAAAGTATTTACAAAGTGACACTAAGTAAAAATACTTTCCACCAAAAGTTACTCAGTATGATTGCAAATATATGACAAAATATGTTTATTTTAAAAACAAACACTACTTGAATGTTTGTTATGTTTTGGTCCCTGTACTTAGTGTTATGACACTTGTTACTTCACTTAGTCTCCCAGCTGCCCAGTGGGGTAGTTGGTATTTGCCCCTTTTACAGATGAGGAAACAGAGGGTCAGAGTGGTTCAGTGAGGCCTCCCAGCCAGAAAGTCAGAGCCAGGACTTGAACTCCAGGCCTAGTGCTCTCTCCACCATATCATGCTAGGATCAAGACTAGAGAAGGAGGATATTGGTCATTTTTTTTCTTTCAGACTTCCTTTTCTGTTGCCATTATTGGAAATTTATAAAGAAAGGCAGTGTTGGCAGCTCATTTGAGGGTGAGGACCAGGGAGATGTTTATGGTACAACTCAGTAAATGCTTTGCTCCCTTCTCCAGGACGACATGGAAGCATACCGGACCCAGAACCGCTTTCTCAACTCTGAGATCCACCAGGTCACAAAGATCTGGAGAAAGGTGGCGGAGAAGGAGAGGGCCCTCCTGATGAAGGTGAGAGGCGGGAGTCTGTTCTGGCCACCTCCATTCCCAGCCACCCTTCAGTCCCCTCACATCATGTCCCTGTCTAACTCTCTCATTACCTGTCTGCTCTCTCTCTGGACTGTGCGCTTCATGAGCTGTCTTCCAAGTATCAGGTATCTGTGCACCGTTGCTGATCGCTGCTTCTGATCGCAGAGGTGCAGAGGAGCAGGTGGGCGGCCACTGTGGTTACCACTCCCCCTCCTGGCTAAAGTAACTTCCAGGGAATGTAAAGCGCTGGCATTCTTTTTCTCCCTCTTCATTTTTCCCCTTTTGGGAGCCAGGTATTAAAGACTAGACGTTCAAAAACAACGGCATATATGGGGGAAATTAGAAAGTGACTGCACACGCTCAGGGAAAGGCTCAGAAAAGACCTGAGAAGACCTTAAGTTCATACTTCAGGCTGATCCTTGCAGAGAGACAACCTACAACAATCAAAGAAACAAAAACAATTTATTTACTTTTTTTTTTTTTTTTTTAGGAGGACCACCCCTTGGGGAACATCCAATGCCAAACCCCCCTTTTTTTGCTGAGGAAGACTGGCCTTGGGCTAACATCCGTGCCCATCTTCCTCCACTTTATATGGGACGCCGCCACAGCATGGCTTGACAAGCGGTGCGTCGGTGGCGCGTGGGATCCAAACCGGCGAATCCCGGGCCACTGCAGCGGAGCGCACGCACTTAACCGCTTGCGCCACCGGGCCGGCCCCCAGAAACAATTAAAAAAAAAACCCCAGCAAACTCTAAGGAGAATATGATTTCCAGAGTTACCACAATATTAGATTCAAATGTCCAGTTTTCAACAAAACAATCACAAGGTATACAAAGAAACAGGAAAGTATGGCTCGTTCAAAGGAAAAAAATTAGTCAACAGAAAAGTGGCCTTGAAAAAGACCTGATGGCAAATGTACTGGACAAAGATTTTAAAACAGTTATCTTAAAGATGCTCAGAGAATTAAAGGAAGATGTGGAGAGTCAAGCAAGCAATGTATGAACAAAATGGAAATATCAATAAAGAGAAAACCTACAAAGAAACCAAAAAAAAAAATTCTGAAGCTGGAAAGTACAATAACTGAAATGAAAACTTCATTAGAGGGATTCAAAGGCAGAAAGAATCAGTGAACTTGAAGATAGGACAATGGAAATGATCGAGCCTGAGAAACAGAAAGAAAAAAGATTGAAGAAGAGTGAACAGAAAAGTGATCTGTGACCTGTGAGACACCCTTAAGCAGACCAACATACCCATTATATTGTGGGAGTCCCAGAAGGAAAGGGGCAGGGAGAATATTTGAAGAAATAATGCTGCAAACTTCCCAAGTTTGGTGGAAGACATGAAGCTCATCCAAGAAGCTCAACAAACTTTAAGTAAGATAAACTCAAAGAGACCCACACCTCGAGACACATTATATCAAACTTTCAAATCCCAGAGACAGAGAGATGTGTTGGAAGCAGAAAGAGAGAAGCAACTCATCACATACAAGGATCCTCAGTGAGCCGATTTCTCATCAGAATTTTTTTTTTTTTTTTTTGGTGAGGAGGATTGGCCCTGAGCTAACATCTGTACCAATCTTGCCTCTATTTTGTATGTGGGTCACTGCCACAGCATGGCTTGATGAGCGGTGTGTAGGTCCGTGCCTGGGATCCAAACCCACGAACCCAGGCCACTGAAGCGGAGCACGCTGAACTTAACCACTACGTCACCGGGCTGGCCCCAGCTCATCAGAAACTTTGAAGGCCAGAAGACAGTGGGCTGATGTATTCAAAGTGCTGAAAGAAAAAAACTGTCAACCAAGAATCCGTATCTGGCAAAACTTTCCTTCAAAAGTGAGAGAGAAATTAAGACTTTCAGATAAAAGCTGAGAGAGTTCATTACCACTAAAACTGCTGTGCAAGAAATGCTCAAGGGGAGTCCTGCAGGGTGAATGAAAGGACACCGGACAGTTTCAAAGCCGTATGAAGAAATAAAGATCTCAGGAAAGGTAAATACATGGGCAATTATAAAAGCTAGTATTATTGTCACTTTGGTTTGCAGCTCCACATTTTTTGTGTGTGTGTGTGAGGAGATCAGCCCTGTGCTAACATCTGCCAGTCCTCCTTTTTTTTGTCTGAGGAAGACTGGCCCTGGGCTAACATCCATGCCCATCTTCCTCCACTTTATATGGGACGCCGCCACAGCATGGCTGGACAAGCAGTGCGTCGGTGCAGGCCCAGGATCCAAACCGGCGAACCCCGGGCCGCCGCAGCAAAGCGCATGCACTTAACTGCTTGTGCCACTGGGCAGGCCGCAGCTCCACATTTTGTTTTCTACGTAATTTCAGAGACTAAAACATTTAAAAGAATTATTACTTCATGTTTTTTGGGCACACAGCGTATAAAGATGTAATTTTGTGGCATCAACAACCAAAGGGTAGGGATGGAGCTGTAATGGCGCAGAGTTTTGTATGTTATTGAAGTTATTATTTATTTATTTTTTATTTTATTTTTATTTTATTTATTTTTTTTGTGATGAAGATCAGCCCTGAGCTAACATCCACGCTAATCCTCCTCTTTTTGCTGAGGAACACCGGCTCTGAGCTAACATCTATTGCCAATCCTCCTCCTTTTTTCCCCC